GGATTGTCGACGAAAATTAAAAGATACCCCCAAAAGTAGTCCAACCATGCTCCCAGAAATAGTCTGGGACTGTTTTTTTCGATTCGTTTTTTGATCTTGTTTGGGGTATGTTGGGGTATGTTTTATTTTTCGTCGAACATCCCCCCGTAGGTTTTATTTTTCGTCGAACATCCCCCCGTAGGGGGACACACCCGACACCACCCGACGCCCTCGCCCGGGCCAGGCAGGGCGCCCGTCGATGCCTCCGCGTCGCTTCGCCATCGATGTCTCGATGGTTTCCGCTTCCGCTTCCGATTTTCGGCTCCTGGGAGGCCGCTGGGGGGCTCCGAGGGCTCCCGTGGGAGGCGCACCAGCCTGCCGATCTCTGCCGAGCCGACCTCTCCCGACTCGGCTGCCGATCTCCGCCGAGCCGATGCCGATCCGACCCGTCGATTCGGCTCCGGGCTCGCCCTGGTGCCGCCGGAGTCGCGGATGCTCGCTGCGGGCGGGGCAGCATCCCGCAGCTCGCCGGAGCTCGGTGGAGCTCCGTCGCCCGGAGCTGACCAGAAGGACCACCGCGGGAATGGAAGGCCCGCCTGACGGCCTCGGCCGAGGACCCTCGTCGCGGCTTTGCAGTTTGCGCGCAGGGTGATTACTCTCAAGTCGGGCCTGTCCCTCTCCTGGGGGGATGTTCAAAAATAGATCAAAAATTGTCAGGGGGCGATGTTTGGCTTTGTTTGCCCATTCGTGGGGTATTTTGTGAGTATGTTCCATTTGTCGTCGAAAATCCCCCTGACGCCCGACTTCAGATTAGTCCAGTTTGCATGTGGGGCTTTCCAGGAAGTCGGCGGCGCGCCTGGCGGGGAGGGTGGAGGGGGGGCAGGCCTTCTGAGATGGCGGCGGGGCTTCCCTCAGAAGTCCCCCCCGGCCTCCCGAGAGAGGCACCCTGTGGCTGCCGAGAGGGTTCAGAGAGCCATGGGAGGAGGCCACGGGCCTTCTGAGCCTTCCAGAGGAGGCCCGCGCCCTCCTCCTCCTCCTCCTCCTCCTCCTCCTCCTCCTCCTCCTCCTCCTCCTCCTCCTCCTCCTCCTCCTCCTCCTGCCCTCCGCAGGGGCACGGTGTCGTATCCTGGCACCGGCGCTACCTTAAGCGGAGGGCACACTGTCAGGGTTCTGGCCCAAGTCGGCGGAGACAAGAAGGCGGCCGTTGCTTTCCGTGGTGAAGGGTTCGTCTCCCTCTCATCACGTTCTTTTTCATGTCAGGTGTGGCACTTGTTTGCCCTCCTGGGTCTGCGTAGCCGGCCCGCAGGATCAGGGTCGGCGCAGCGGGGTCCGCGGTATCAGGACCTGTGTCGCTCCAGAGGCGAGGATTGGAGCATCCGGAAGCTCAAAAAGTCGCCTCCTCGCAGCACCACCGGAGCGGCACACCGCCTCAAGGAAGGCGGCCGCGAGTGGGCCAGGCGACTTGCCCTTGTCCCGTTCCGTCGCACTTATTCGCCTAAGTGCTCCCTTCGGGGATGCGACGTTCGTTGTCGCTCATGCACAGCTCCCACAGCTCCTCCTCCTCCTCCTCCTCCTCCTCCTCCTCGTCCTCCTCCTCCTCCTCCTCCTCCTCCTCCTCCTCCTCCTCCTCCTCCTCCTCCTCCTCCTAGCCGCCGCCACGGCTGAAGGGCGCGGGACACGCGGCCCTCCCACCCTTTTCATCGCCCGCCAGGGGAGCAGCGCGCGATGCCCACTCGCCCTCGGGGCCCAAGAGGCCCATGATGGCGGCTCTCCTCTTGCTCGCGGCCGTCGGCTTCTCGCCGCGGGCGGCCGCCTGCACGTCGAATGGCGCGTGCCGCGCCCTTGGACGCACTCAGGAGCGAGAGCCGCAACGTGCTCAGCACACCAGGCTCTACGAGTACTTCCCTATCTACCTGACGGGCAGCACCCGCGCGCAGGAGATCACCCTCGCGCACTACATGGGCGAGATCCTCTTCCCTGGGACGAACCGCCGCCCGACACTGGACGGCCGCCACAGCCTCTTTCTGCGCGACTACCACTGGGAGCTCTCCTTCGGCTGGACCAACAAGAGCTTCGGGGGGCGCATCTTCCTACATCGGCGGTTTCTGCAGGCACACCTACGTCTGACCTACCCTCCGCCCGCGGCGCTCTCGGGCCGCTGCGGTACGACAGTGCCGCTCCTCGGACGTGCTCCTCTTGGTTCGGCACCTTTCCGCGCCATCCGAGTCCGACTCATACCGCCATGTGGCCCAGGCTATGACCTCGTGGGCACGCACCATGATGGAGTCTGTGGGCAGCCGTCGCACGCCTTCCTGCGGGGCGGACCTCAGCTCGGCGACTCCGTGGACGAGACGTATCTCGGCTCCTCGCCCCTGCTCGTGCCCGTCTTGTGGAGCGAGGTCGACAGCGCCGTGGGCATCTTTCTGGAGTTGGAGGGCCTCCCTGGGCGTCTTTGGCAACGGTTCCTCTCGGACCTCGACGCCTTCTTTCTTAGCGGGGACACTTACTGGGGGGCGCTCGG